CCAAATCCCTCCCTCCTAAAGGGATTACAAGCATGAGCCATCGTGCCCGGCATCATATGCTGTTTATATTCTTTTGTTTCTTTTTAATTTCATTTTACACGATCTGCTTTGACAACCTTTCTTCCTAAAAATTAGAGACATGAGGTACCAGTATAAAGGAAAGATGGCCCTGGAAATTTAACCTGTCTAAAATAAGGGAAGATATGTGCCTTTGATCCCCCCAGAGAAGTACCGAAAAAGCTCCACAAAACACATTGCTCATTGCAGACCTCTTGTCATCTCTTGGTCCCTAAAGATGAGATTTAGCGAGGTTGACAAGACCACATCTAGAAATATCTTCCAGGAAATCCATCAGACATAATCCAGGTCAGAATTCCCCAAATAAGAGTAAGAAGGCCCCAGAAGGAAAGCTTCATAAATTAAGGTTCCCCTATTATCCTGAAGACCATCTATTCCCAAATATAGCTGAGAGTTGCTGTGTCCATTCTGCATGACTTTATGACATTGGCAAGGCCAAATTAGATCTTATAAAGAAAAGCTTGTCTGATTGCAGTGGTTTTGTCAGCTGCAGATTCATATATACTAGGGGATATACTTAATGTGAACATGATTTATATAAACTTGAAATTGTGTAATATAAAATACTAATAAAATCTCACTTTGGGTGAATGCTTTGAAAATAGATTTCATCAAATGAAAGGAATGAGGAATGTCATAGTTTCACAGCTAGCTAACTAAATGAATTATAAATTATGTCCATCCTTCTGTCACAAGAAAGTGCTATTTTAGCTAGTAAGCCAAAATGTCTAACAAACTTTAATGTCAAATTAACCAATGCTGTTGTTTATATTAGAACTACGTGGTGATTTCAGACATTTTTTGTTGTTTTTTTGGTTTTGTTATGAAACATTCCATTTTCATTAATTTAAAAAAACATATTTACTGACAATAGTATGCAAACATTTATTGAGCTTTCTGCCTTTCTTTTATGAATTAAGAAATTCTGCATTAAAATGTCAAGAAAGTTAAGCAGTTATGTTGAACCATGCTTTTAATTTCTGCAAAATGTTAGAGATAATGCTAAGAAATTAAAAAAGTATATATATAGCAAAAATATCCTACAGTACTTATTGATTTATGTGCTCCATGAATGTTTACTTCCTATTTTACATGAAAATATATGCACATTAAAATGTATTTTATATTACATTTCTTCTTTGAGAAAAGTAGTTTAGAATTATGCAAAATTTGAATCATGCAAGGTCTTCAAGAATGCAGCTGGTACCAAGATGGAGATATAGACCAATGGAACAGAACAGAGTCCTCAGAAATAATACCACACATCTACAATGATCTGATCTTTGACAAACCTGACAAAAACAAG